TTTTTGAGTTGGAGTCTCACTCTGTCACCCAGGCTGGAGTGCAGTGGCACGCTCACAGCTCACCGCAGCCTCAACCTCCTGAGCTCAGGTGATCCTTCCACCTCAGCCTTCCAAGTAGCTGGGACTACAGGTGTGCAACACCAAACCTGACTAATTTTTTCATTTTTTTGTAGAGATGAGATCTTACTATGTTACCCAGGCTGGTCACGAACTGCTGGGCTCAAGCAGTCCTCCCACCTCAGCCTTCCAAAGTGGTGGGATTACAGGTGTGAGCCACTGTACCCAGCCATCATTTCTGTCTTTGTTTCCTGTCTCTCTACCCAACTAGGCTGTATGCTCCAATCTTGCACACAGCACTAAAGGTTTAGGTTAGTGATCAGGACAGGATAGAAAGGTCTTGAAATTCAATATAAGGCTGACGCGGTGGCTCAAGCCTGTAATCCCAGCATTTTGGGAGGCTGAGGTGAGAGGATTGCCTGAGCCCATGGGTTCGAGAACAGCCTGGGCAACTTGGTGAGATTTCATCTCTACAATAAACCAAAAAAATTATCCAGGCATGGTAGCACACACCTGTAGTTCCAGCTACTTGGAAGAATCGCCGGAGCCCAGCAGGTCGAGGCTGCGGTGGCCGAGAGCGGCCACTGCACTCCAGTCTGGGCGACTGAGTGAGACTCCAACTCAAAAAAAAAAAGAAAGAAAAAAAAGAAATTCAACATAAGCCCTCTTATATTGAAAGTGTTCTAATACTCATTACCAAAATTACAACAGAAACAAACTAAGAAGTCTCGGGACTACCTTGCTAAGAAAAAAACTATTCTTTACTAATTTTAATTCAGATAACAAAACATAACTAAAACTCGAGCTTCCTTAGTATGGAACAGATAGAAATAGATGATCTTTCTGTAAGAGAACAACAAATTTAATTATGAAACTCCAAGAAGCGATAACATATCACGTACAATCAGGAACTTGGCAGGGGTAGGGAGGTGTAAGTGCTCACTAACTACAATGAACCAGAATCTAAAGAAAAAAATTATTTTCTTTAAGAAAAAAAAAGAGGTCTGCACTTAAACTAAACTGCATGGGGCACCTTCTGGTTTTTGTTTTTTTCGAGTTGGAGTCTCACTCTGTCGCCCAGACTGGAGTGCCGTGGCCGCTCCTGACCACCGCAGCCTCGACCTGCTGGGCTCCGCGATCCTTCCGCCTCAGCCTTTCAAGTAGCCGGAATTACAGGCGCGCGCTACCACACCCGGCTAATTTTTGATTTATTGTAGAGATGAGGTCTCACCAAGTTGCCCAGGTGGGTCTCGAACCCGCGGGCTCAGGCAATCCACTCACCTCAGCCTCCCAAGGCGCGGGATTACAGGATGAGCCACCAAGCCCAGCTCCTTCGAGTTTTTGACTGGGGTAATCTGGGGAGCAACAGTGAATACGAAAAGGAGACCAACTTTAAACATTATCCGCTTCTGCCCTCACATGGCTCAAGGGGGTACTGCAGCTTCTCTGCCAATTCAGAAGTTTCGGTTTCTGGGTCTCTGGTTCCCCATTATTATCATTGTGTTCAGAATCGCTCAATATTATTTCTAGAATAGTCTTTTTTTTTTGAGTTGGAGACTCACTCTGTCGCCCAGACTGGAGTGCAGTGGCCGCTCCCGGCCACCGCAGCCTCGACCTGCTGGGCTCTGGCGATCCTTCCGCCTCAGCCTTCCAAGTAGCCGGAATTACAGGCATGCGCTACCACGCCCGGCTGATTTTTTGAGTTATTGTATAGATGAGGTCTCGCTGCCCAGGCGGG